ATTATCTTTATCGCCTTTCTCTTCAGGTATATTGTATACTAATCTTGACGATCAACAAAAAAACTTATTAAGTATCAACCTTCTTTAGTTCATCTTTCTGTCAATTCATTTATCGTTCCTATTTCTTTCCTTCCAGAAGAAGGAAGCGGAATGAAGATTGAACTGATATTTGCGAATATCATTCAATGTTTTTTTCAGCAAAGTAGAAAGATTGTCGGATCTTAGTAGGTTCTACACACTCGGTTTAAATGGTCACTTTGTATTCTTTTTTGAAGCCATTCGACGTTATCGATCGGTCGAAGAACCGCTTGTGAATTTTAGAATTCAAGGTAGTCTCTCCTTATCGAATTCAACATATACCTCGAGTTAAAACCCGGTTCGAATTAATCAAACTCTGCACGCGTTATACGAACGTGTGTACCCTACGTATGATTTTATGTATCCCGCTTTGGTACGCCGCCGGCATGAACAATCGACTGGCAGAGAACGAGGGTGAAAGTGCCCGACGTACATATAAAGATAGAAGTGTACGAGAGGAAGGCCATCTCCAGTCCTTCTCTTTCATTCTCTAGAGACATACAGAGTTGGGAATCTAGCATCCAAGCTCTACCCGAATATGCGGCATGCGTTATCTGACAGGCAGATACTGTCGGAGTTATGCGTTGCCTACGCCAAATTATGTTTCCACTTCGTCCCCGTCTACCTTCCTACCATCCTACCATCCTCGTCGTTTCTATTTCTTGTTATCGCGTATGATGCACTTAACCGGACACGTATTTGCCAAGGATGCTATCGCTGTTGAGCTTGATAGATTCCTCGAGATTTGAATTAGATGAGAAGGTATCGATTTTTCTATAACAACTGCATCAGCATTCGGATAACTAACACGCAATATATATTCTATTTTTTTAACATATGCAATTATTTACAGTCATTTATCTCTATTATACCTCGTGATAATCCTTTCAAGATAATTTTCCACTTTCTTTTGCTTTGAACTTTGATGAATCATTATGAAAGAGAGGACGAGTAATTGAGGAAAGAAAAAAACAAATTTAATAATTCTTTTAAAGAAAATTCTACTTTTTAAAAACGAACGCTCTATAATATTGACACGATTTTAAAACTTATTCAAAGAATTATCTTCGTTATCGAACGAACGTATCTCTCTGGAAAGTGCTTTCACTGTTGCTGCTGCTGCTGTTGTGATTTACCGCACACGATTCACGATACATTGCGCGCGGGTAACCCTGACGATTCAGCAGCGTTTTCAGCTCGATATCCGAACCATTTAATCTAGACGATAGATTCTTCTTTGAGCGAACTATCGAAAAGTGTCTTCCTCGCGAATAGTTTACTAAGGATCTTGCGCGTTTATTTAACGATATCATAGATGTATGTTCATCCATTTAACGTGATCGATGCCAAGAGTTGGCACGATTGTCGAGTTATCAAAAATATGTTTTTATTTTCTTTTTATATCTCTAGGATCTCTATTCGCAATGAATCGTCATATTGACCTAAAATTTTTCAATTAAGAATAAACTTCTCAAACGACATATAATTTTAATATAACTAATGTAACACAAAGCTGCACACGGGAATTATTTTGTTCGGATATATTCGTTCAAATGAAATAGAAGCTCTGCCGAAATGTTTAGTTCAAATTGAAAGGAATTTTACAACTTGTTCTCATACATACCATCGAAGAATTTTTGTATAATGGCCGAGCGTTCACTGCACATCATTTACTTTCCATATGTGCGATGAAACGATATCGATTTTCCGTAGAATGTACTCGAGAGAACTTATCGCGTGGAGAATTAAGGAAATGGAGAGAGGGGGGGGGGAACTCAAAGGAATATATGTATATCTGAAGGGTGTGTAAGCTGGTCAATGGCAGACGTGCCAAACGTTTCCTTTCTTCGACCGTAATTTCCACGTGGTACCGTGTCGATCTGTCGACAGACTGTATACACGTATAGCCTGATGAGAGAGTTTGAGAGATACGGAGAATGGAGAAAGGAAGGGAAGTGGGCTTGGACAGAGTTAAGAGAAAGACCAGATTTCCTAATCGGTATGAGGGTTTCCACCAGTCGGCTCTCAATTCGTACCAAAGCAATTCAGAGAGCTAACTCGTCGAGAGGGAAGAGCAACACTAGGGAGGAAAGAGATAGATAGAAAGACCGAAGCGCAGAACTAGAAGACAATGCAATTATTCGCAATTACCGCGTCCGTCCGCGGCTCGCGGAATTATCCCATTCTGTTTCCATTACCGTCCCTGCCAGCTTTTCTCCTTCTCCTTCCGTCCTATGCTTGTCATTTTCTCTCTCTCTCTCCTTCCCTCCCTCACTTTAGTCCATACTCGAAGCATCGCGCAGACTCGTCCCTTTCTTCGCCATGCATATAGTAAAAACCGAAGATGCCAAAGAGCATCGAAGACAATTTTTTCTTTTAACGAACGTATTTTTCACTAATTCGCTCAGGTGGTAAGTATTTAATAACGATAGCATGATCGAAAGCTGCCGAACCTAATTATCTCTTCTTCTTTTTTTTTACCTCTCACTTGCTTGCTGCTCTCTCGTGTGTTTGGCTCGCTCTATTCAAATAGTTCAAGATTAACGTTGCTCTCGTTTCGTCGTCGTATTTTAACAGATTCTGGATAGGGGAGCGGCTAATGTAACAAAGGAAATCCGGGTGGCGAGTGATAAAACGTAATTACGCGACGTTTTTCTCACTTTTTTCTACCGTGTCTATACTTTCTCCTCATCCTCTTCTTCCTCTTCTCTGCCCTTACATTATAGGTACTCTTCCCTTTTCTTGTCTTCCCTTGTATCTATATTTCTTTCCCTGCATTAGTTTTTCTTATCTTATGTATTTTACTTGCTACACTGCACTATATAGCATATAGATAAAGGAAAAATAATTGTGTTTCCTTTTTTTAATAAACCGTTAAAGAAATATTATAATCGCGATATACTTTCGTTTCCTCTCGAAAAGTCACTAATGAGATCACTAATATATATCTGTGTAAACCCCTAAATGTGACCGTTGTTGCAAGTATCACGCTATCGGTCGCGATTATCCTCCAAGCGGGATGAAAAAGTCCAGAAAGAAATTTCAATAGATTCCCCTCTTTCCTTCCTTCCTTCCCTCCTTACTTTCTGTTCTTTTTCAAAAGTTTTTGCTCGAACTTTTATGAAGAAAATGAAATACCAACCGCTTGGCCTTCGATCTTTCTATCTAGAACACACGCGATGGCACGCGGACTTGGTATCGTGCGGGCCACATTGATATTATCTTCGACGTTGCTGATGTCTCTAATGCCATTATAGTGTCTATTTACGCGGAAGAATGAACGCGATTCTAGTAAACGCACACTTCGATAGGTGGATAATTTGCTGAAAGCTGACGTCTCAAACGGAATGAAGTTGGTTTCAAGCAATGACGGAAACGATTAACTCGGCTGAAGGAATTGTCGTCGTTATGCTATTACCTCAAGACTTGGCGTGGAATCGTTCAAAGTGTAAACTTTCTGCTACAAGGTAGATAGAGGGAGAGCGAGACTGATAGTAAGGGAAAAGGATATGGGACCTCTAAGAGATTGATAGATAAAGAAAGAGAGAGAAAGAGAGAGGAAGAGAGCGAAGGAATAAGGAGCATAAGAGAAGAGAATAGATCTACTTAGATATAAACGCAGCGTACTGGGGTGGGGGGATTTGTTCCAGGGAAGTACTGTCGAGTTCCTAAACTACCAGCGTCTAGTAAGTGGTAAACTGGCAGAATACTAGGGAGAGAGATAGAGAAGGGGAGAGAAAAGGACGAGTAGAAGCACGGCAGGTTATGCCGGCATTGTTCTAATTTAATCATACATGCCAGGATCGCTCAAGATATCGACTCATCGAATAACTCGGTATTAAGAACGATCCTCTCGCGAGCTACTATTTTCGCTATTTAAATTGATTCCGTTTTTATATCCCCTTTCATACTCTTTATTCATCCTTTTGCGTGTCATGCTTTTTTTCATGTTTTTCTTTTTATTCTTTCTTTCTTCTACCATTTTTTCTGTCAAAGCTCTTGGACTAGTAAAAGATTTCATGAAAGGCTCAAATTTCCACCCTATATCCACTATCTGATATCATCATACAACTTCGTGCAACACCTATCCCCGGTTACATCATTTTCTTTTCGGAATTTGTTCCTACATTCGTAGTACTATAACGTTAAGAATTATTAATCTATGGAAAATCTAAAGTTCTCTGATTGTGAGATGATAAACGACGTTTGCCTCTACGGCAAAATAAGAAGCGTGTAGTATCTACGAGCAATTAAAAGGGAAATGTTATTGTAGGTCGGAAAGAAAGCGAAAGGAGGAACGGCGTTGTGCTCGCGACGAAACGCGCTGAAAGGTTTGCGTCAGGGTTTGCGTCAGGGTTAGCGGTCGCGGTCGAGAGGTTAATTGCGCGCCAACACAGAGCGTTCTTTGATTAGCGTCCTACGCTACGTACTAGACGTACTGGAGAGAGTAAGTTTCTCTCGCCCCTACACCCCTTCTCTGCTTACCAGGTAATTACGCGAGCCTCAGGTGATCAACCTTTATAAAAGGCCCCTTCTTCTGCCTTCCCCTTCCCGCTCCCTCTTCTACTCTTTAAACCCGCTTTCGTCCGTTCTCCTCTTTTCTTTCTTTACTCTATATATTGAGTTGGAAAGTACTCGTCGAAAGTACGTTCTTTAAAGTCACAAAGCTTTCGAGGTACCTATTGCGCCGCTAGTCATCAAGTTCGTGCTTTCGGGATATCCATAGAAGGGGGTCTCCACTTGAAAATGATATGTAACCAAAAAGAAAAACACTTTAAACACTTTAATTTTACTAAACGACGAGGAAAAGAGAAAAAGAAAAAATAGATGTACAAAAGAAATATAAAAATCTTATAATTGGATAAGAGCTCGAAAACTTCCTACTTAATAAATCATAAATTCTTTATAATTTTTCGTTACAGCAACAACAACAGCAGGCTCAGCAACAGCAGCAGCAGCAACAACAACAGCAGCAGCAGCAACAACAAGCTCAACAACAACAACAACAGCAGCAGCAGCAACAGGTTCAGCAACAGCAACATCAGCAGCAGCAACAACAACAACAGCAGCAGCAGCAGCAGCAACAACAACAGCAGCAGCAGCAACAACAGCAGCAGCAACAACAAGCTCAACAGCAACAGCAACAACAACAGGTTAATTCGCCTGGAAACGGAAACGGAAACGTCGGAAAGGGTAGTCTCTCGCCGGGAAACTCATCTTCTCCTGGAGCAGTCGTTACGTCAAACAAATCTCAGGCCGAACTGAAACCAGTGGAGTGTAATTTATGCCATAGAAAATTTAAAAACATACCTGCGCTCAATGGTCATATGAGGCTACATGGCGGTTACTTCAAAAAGGTAACTGCCCTTCTTTCGAAAAAGGCTTCGATTTTAATTTACGAGTAGTGACGTGCCGAACAATCTTTTTTCGAGATTTCAGCGAAGCTTCCCTCGTACTTTTAATCGTTCTCCCGTCGTTTTATTTCTTTCTCTTTCTCCCTCATTAATCTTATTAAAGTTAAAAAAGTGACCTGAATTCTGCTTCTACAATTGCCGAAATAGAAAGATCAGCGATTTCTGAACGCTTTTTCTTTTCCTACTTTTCTTCGATCGAAAGCCCGTTTATGATGCTCTTTCTCATTCTCTCTTTTACTCCTCATCCTCCTTCTTCTGTTTCTTTTTCTCTTTCTACTCCCTTTCCTTCACTGATTAAAAATGTCTTAACGAACGGCAACATCGTTCAATGAAAAGTGCTGAAAGATTTGCAGAAAAAAAGTTTCTCCCTTTTTAATCGTGAAAACGTGGAAGAGGGATCGGAGGGGCTAGAGGTTTTTCTCTGCAACATGGAGTGAGATGAAAGAAGCTAAATACTAGCGCGAGAATGTCTTTTTCCACTTCGATAAACTCTCCGAGAGAGGAAAGAAAGAAGAAAAAGAGAGAACAAGTCCGATTGGAGAAGTAATACGAATACAGCCAAAAAGATTTCCAACGATCAATTAATTTCCTCAGTTCCTCGCAGGCGTTGACTATTTAATATGCTTTTTTTCTAAGAAATAAAAACTAGTTAGATGTCAACAAAAATCGTCGGTAAAAGATTATTTTAGAATCTATAAAAATCCAATTTTACTTTAACCTTAAGAAATATTCAAATAAATTAAGATTTCAAATCAAAGATATATAAAAAATTCTTAATAATCCGTAGCGATTTCAAACAGTACGAACAAACGAGCGTATAATAAAAAGTGATACGATTTCAATGATGTAGAGAACGAAACGGCCAAGTAAGAATCAGACAACTCAAAGGGAGCAAATAAATGAACGGGCAAGTAAAGAGAGAGGGAGAGAGAGAAAGAAATAGATATCGCGGAGTAGATAGAAAGATAAGATGATGGTGAAGTCCAAATGAACGCATTTACAAGCTCTTTCGTCTGTCCTGGACTTCGAAGTAATCCTCATCGAATTGAAAAGTGGAAATAATCAAGAAAAAAGAATAAAAATGGGTGAACGGGTTTTCCATTTCATGGAAGTAGGAGAAATGAACGAAAAAAGAACACGAAAGAAAGAGAAACGAGACGTAAGAGTCGTGCTTATGAACTTCATTATGAGCTTCCTTCGAGCTTCCTTCGAGCTTCCTTCGAGCTTCCTTCGAGCTTTCTTCGAGCTTTCTTCGAGATTTCTTTGAGCTTTCTTCATTATGCAGATTGAATCTGACTGGTTACGGTTTGGGTTTGAAACAGCAGTGGGTGCTCTCTTGCTCGAACCAATCGAATTTTCACCGCTGTACTGACGGACCCTCCTCGTAACCCCTGTTAGAGTCTTACCATAACAATGGCATCCCTGTTCCAAACCGGTTATACTCGACAAGTATAGCGAGCCCTCGAACGATTTCCTTTTTTATGGTATTGATCAAGTTTTTCATCCACGGGAAAGAAGGAGGTCAAGAATTATTGAAAACTTTTCATAGCTCTGTCTACGGATATGTCAGAATTAATACTGATTATTTTGTCTAGTTTATAATGTACCTAACATATAATACTTGTTTACTTATCGTATTGATCTAATATGTTTTCCTTACCCCCTCTTTTTCAAATGGTCTTTCAATTTGTATCTTATCGAAATAAGATCGATTATTTAATGTTTTTCTTAATTCTACCATTTCGATCAAATTTATATAGATACAAGTTTAAGCCGTTTAAAAGGAAGATAAAGAAGCGGTCATATTGTTAGTCATCCCAAGCTAATATCGAGATGTGTAATAATACTCATGATTTTTAATAAATGGACGCATCATAATCTATTTCGCGTAATAATTAGTAACGATCAATATTCATGGTGTGCACGTTGCGCACTCATGTTAAAGACAAAGTACAATTTCGCGAGAAACGATATATATATATACATACAATACATATATATATATATATATATACAACATATGTCGACAAAGGCACGCGTAGGATTAATCCAATAAAAGTTCGAGATTAGAATGCTGATAATTTGTACATTTGCGTTAACAAACTATCTTCCATCTATTCACGAGTTTTATCTGTTTTTAAGTGCAAAATTTATCCAAAAATTAATTTTAAAACATTTCTTAAAACTCGCGGTAAGTTATTATTGAAATGAACATGTCTAAAATGACCGATAACAGGATGCACGATTCTTGTCAGACTCTTAGATCACAGTAGGACTTCGAGAGAGACTCAACAAGGTGCCACCTCTTGATCTAGCATCCCGTAGGTTGGTGTATTACATACGCCAGAGATTCCATCATGAGATAATCGAATGGGCGCCTCAATTAGCTTCGCTCGGTGATTAGCTGTCCCTCCCTCTCTTGAACAGCTCTCCCTAGCTCAAATATCCAATCTCTATCCCGAGCCCCGTCAATTTAATCGCGATACAAGCCTCTAATTCATGATCACTCGTCATAAGTCACCATAATGGTTGGACCATCCAAAGTTCTGGATAGGAGTGAAAATCTTGGATAAGCCGTTGTAAAGTTCTCGCGATTGATCAAGAATCAAAGAATACTGATTTCTACGATTTTCTTTGATATCCTTCTCCTGTTTTCTTTAACCACGATCATAAAAATTCGTAAGATTATTATTTAAATGTCATCTCGACGAAGTATCGTCGAACGCTTACGTTTTTTATTTGTCCGCATTATTTCGAACTAATATCATATTCCAATCGCTCAATTTCATATTTTAATACCTCGATCTCTTATCTTTATTTCTCAGGATGCTGAGAATAAGAAAAGCGAAAAAAAAGAAGTCGTCGGACCGCCTTTACAAACAGTTTCGAATAGCGTCAGAGCACTAATCGAAGAGAAGATCATTCAAAAGAGAACAACCGGTAAGTACGAATTTTGATTTATTTATTAACAGTCTAATATATGTAGTAATTCAGCAAAGAACAATTTTGCAAATAAAAGGCAGAAATAGAAAGCTACAATTGCGATTTTGATATTATAAATGAATACGTATCTTACGCGTTTATTAGTTTGGTCGACGCTAATCCCTCTTTTCTTCTCTCTCGTATATCGCGTATATTTGGCAGCGATATTTCCCTAGTATGCGCGCGCGCGTGCCCGTCATTGGGTGAGCCATTGGGTGGACCATTGGGTGGTCCATTGGGTGGACCATTGGGTGGACCATGAAGTGCCAAAGAAACGTGATTTACTAAGCAAGCACGCCAGAATATTTCTCGCATTGTCCACGTCGAGACGATAAATCAAGCGACGGTGAAGAACAGTGAAAGGGGTAGCAAAACGAACGGGGTAAAGAGGAAAGAAGGGGCTAACCGAGCGTGCTTTTGTAACGGAGCGAACATCGTTAGCGATTTATGCACGATCTCGCCCAGCTCACTTTGCCAAAAAGTGCGATAGCGAGCTGCACTAGATTTGCAAATAAAACATTTTTCTAAATAAAGCATGCCTTTATTTTCCGACCAAATTATTTAGAAAATTACTTTATTGCGACGTCATTATGTTCGTAATTTAAACATCTCTGTTATATTTATATGTACTGTCGATGAGGAAGCCCATATGATTTTAAAGAAAGTTTTAACAATATGACAGAAAATCAATTACTTGCATTACTCAATCTTTCAACTTGGAATCGACTGAGACTGAATGTCTTTAATGTTAAAAGGGATAATACTCGTCTACTTTCAAAATCCACACCTAATTTTTCTTATACAACATAAATCAAACAAAATAACGTTTATTTTTAATATCGCAAAAATATTCTGACATAATTTATCGTTTGTGTGTGTGTGTATGTGTTTACAAAAGAGAACAATCTGTTCACGAGCAAATAGAAGTAACTATTAGGTCTTTTTATTTCATCCATTGTTAAACGGAAGATTACCCTAGAAAATAATGCACGAAAGAAGACATTTTACTTTCGGTATAAACAGTATATACATGCATCTATTGATATTTATTTTCGTAAATATATATATTTCATTGCACGTATATTCGTGCTTTTTCCAAATTCTTATTGTTTCTTCATCTGCTATTTTACAAGTTCTCGAGAATACGTTGTTCAAAATATATTTTATTTCTTAATAATTCAAGAACGTTATTTTGTACTGAACAACAAATAAGAGAGTTTGTGTAAGCTACAGGACATAAAATAGACAAATATCTTTTCAACGATTAGATGTAACGATAAAATGTAAAAATTTGATTCTAGCTGCAGACGCGAACATCAATCAGCAGCCTCGGGTGAATAATAACAACGTATTTACGAGTCAAGTCGATAGCGGCTCTCAAATCAATGGGAAAACTGGCTTTGCTATACCAGCACCTCCACCTTTGGCAACAAGCGAGAAAGTACGTAGGTTTTCTGATGGAGAACATTTTCGGCAACCGAACGTCACTGTATGTGGGCACACGACTGTGCAAAAACAACTTCAGGAAGCGCAAACGCAAGCACAAGCGCAAGCACTGGCCGATATGATACTGAAGGTTAACTTTGTTTAACGAAATCCTTAAATTCATTAACGTTTAATTCATTTTACCTGACCTTATTTTTTCTTTACAGAATACTACAAAGATGGCTGTAAAAAGAACCACATCTGATCCTGGTCAAAGATTGCATCTTACGTATCAATCGTCGGTACAATCTACAACGAGTAGTCAACAGCAGCAGCAGCAGCAGCAACAACAACAACAACAACAACAGCAGCAGCAACAACAAGCTCAACAACAACAACAACAACAACAACAACAACAACAGCAACAACAACAACAGCAACAGCAGCAACAACAGCAACAACAACAACAACAGCAGCAGCAACAACAGCAGCAACAGCCACAGCAGCAACAGCAGCAACAATTACAACAAAAACAACAACAATCAAAACAACAACAGCAACCAAACAGTCAATCTCAGACAACATCCGCCGTCACGGAATCCTTCACAATGGCAGGATACTCTGAAGATGGTGGTTACTTCAGCCCAAGTTTACAAGACGAAGTATTTCAGCAAGTTACAACTGTACCAGATAGCGTTCTTCCTCATGCTACTCAATTGGACTCTATTCAAGTAAGTACTTGACGCTTTCTGTAAATTATTATGTTTTTATTTTTATTTCTTGTTTTTTTCACTATTATTTCAATGTTGTCCACTATATTATTGCTTTAATTATGAGAACGCGTGGAAAAAAAGATTAACGAGATTGAACGTCAACGCTCAACTTCTCGCTCGTTGTACTTTTCGATTTGTATTGAGTTGGCAACTAAGTAATTGCTGATTTCACTTATAGACGTCTCTCACTCCCATTTTTATGATATCCATAAATGTTATGATCTTTTTCTTCTTCTTCTTTCTGCCAACCCAATAGTTTCATTGTAGGAAGATGAAGGAGAACTTTAGCGCAGACTTGGACAAGATTACAAAGAAAAATAAACAGAAGTATATTTGGTCGTTCAGACAACGCGTTAAGATAAGATATTCCTTGCTCTTTGACGTTTATGAATAGCCTTACTCTGTCATTCTAAAAATTCTTCGCTGAAAATACTTTAGTTTCAATTACGTGACGATTGTAGATCAGTATCGCATGGGCGAATCGTAGACTAACATAAGGCAAAATGTAATAAGGGAAATTATCTAAGTAGCTGGTACTAAGTACGTTTTGCAACGTTTGAGAAGCGACCGTCTAACCTTACCTTCCATACCCTTTACATTTCTCCTTTTGCCTACCATCTGTTCCTGTCACCAAGCAGCCTCGTTAACCTTTAACTTTACGGACACCAGGGATTCTATGCTGATGCTATGCTCTTTCCTCTTCTTTTTTGTCTTCTCTTTTTACGAACGACTACGAAGCTTTAATCGAGATTCAAGGTAGACAGACACGTATCCATATAATTTATGCTCTACATAAATAAACGTTAATCTTTCTACTTGTAAAATAAAAACCTCTTTTTATCCTTTTTCGTACTTAACTACACAACAACCCAAATCAATAATATGTTTTATCAAAGATTTGTAAACTATAAAAAAATGTGTAATTTGAGAGGTAGTTACGTTAAGAAATGTTAAAAAAATGACTCGACTAAAGGATGAAATTACGTTCAGTTTCAGACTGCGAACTTGTTGCAAGAACAATCTAGCGAGCAATTACAAGACATAACGCTTGAAGACAGATATTCGTCGCAACACACGGTCAATCCAGATCTCCAGGCTTTAGTAAACTCACCGCTCCCAGATTCTTTGGCAGAATTTAGTACCTACGGTGCCCAATATACGGAAAGTCCACACACATTGCCAACGCAATCGCCACTACCATCTCCGCTTACGAGACATGACAGCCCTAGTTTTACATATCCAACACCACCGGCCAGTCAGGAAGGACTCCTCACTGGGAGTCTTCCTTTGTTGAGCCCTCAAGAAGATCCCGAATCGGTCCGTCAAGTTTCATCGCCTTTATCTGCGGCTTTTTACACGACGACGATGTCTTCGGCGGCGGCAGTGGAAGAGGCTTTGAGCGAAGTTTTGCCTGGCGAATCGGAAGCAGATGCAGGTCTTTACGGTTCTCCATCGCCAAATCCACATTCACCTCTCCCAAGTCCACTCTCGGCAACGCCAGCACCTTCTCCTCTTTCATCTTTGCCACCGTCCTCGGTGTCTTCTCCCGGACCCGTTACCTTTACTAACACCAGTTTTCCTGTGTCACCTCATCACGCTCTCCAAAGTCAAATGATGCCAAACTCGGAAGATCCGCTCTTATCGTCAACACCGAAGGATTTCACAACCGCTGGTCGCCGTAGATTCGAATTCCAATCGTACAAACTCGTCACCAGTCAAAATCTCGTCGACTTTGGCTTAGGCAACGGTAGCCTCGCTAGCATAGTCGTCGACAATAACGGCGAGTTAAAACTCATTCAAACGGCAGGTTTGCCGAAGACAAACGTTCTCGTGCAAGCGGGTTCCCTTAGTCCAGCGCTTGCATTCAAGAAGGAAATTCGACTAGCTACACCAAAAGTCGAGCCTGTTACCGTAAATCTCGGCCTAAACGTACAAACGCAAAATCAGTTTAATGCAGGACAATTCAATCAGCAGCAAGTCGTTAATCCGGCCAAGTTTCTCGTTCAAACTAATCACGTCGGAAAGAACAATAGTTTAAGACAGAATAAGGGGATGATAGGCGGCAATCTTTCGATACCGATAGAGCAGATAAAGGAAGAATTGTTGGACGAGGATGTATTTCTTAGCCCTAGCAGCGTTTCCGTTGACAGCCCAATGCGACAATGCAGGAAAAGACAACGAATGGATGGCCAATATACCAACAGCTCGTATTCCTATCCATCAAAATTGAGGAAACTCTGCGATCGGCATTGGGACAGTAGTTACACTCCACCGCCTATATTAGATCCTACTCGTCTTGGTTCGGGACTTTATGCGAGACTGCATCAATACGAAAAAGATTCGGATTTTAGTTCAGATGATTCTCAAGGAAACGAAGGTCCACCACCTAGAATCAACATAGGCACCAGATATCAACCCACTATTCCACCATTAGGTTCCGACGTAGACAGAGGGAAAGGAGGACCCGAAGAGGACCATCTTCTTTGGGATCCAGGCATAAATGATTTAGTCACTAACAACGAGTGTGAGTTACTATTTTATAAGACTTGGTCATAATTTCAATTCTTTCTTAACTCTTCATTCTGTTTTCTATTTCAGTGGATATGTATTTACATTTTGCCTGTTGTGCCGGCATACCAGGAGGTGGAAGAAATACGGAATATGCGCTTCATTTGTTACACATGTGTAAAGGAAATATTCATGTAAGTGTCTACTCTCTAACAATCAAATAATCGTATAAGTTTCTTCTCCCACTGTTTACAAGTTTTTTCCTTCTTATTTCGAGAAAAATTCCATCTGTGTTCCAATGCGTGATATTAATATAATGTTTAATAATCTATGTTTAATAGGAAGCTATGCTAAAATTGATGAGACCAACGCCCACGTTACCTTCTGAACATCCGTTGCTCAGTCACGAATGCCATGAATCCGATCGTTGGACAGCACACGAGATGGATACGTTCTATCAAGGATTACTTAAATATAATAAGGATTTCTTATTAATTTCACGAGACTTAGGAACTAAGTCGGTTAAGCAATGCGTGCAATTCTATTATCTCTGGAAAAGACTTTGCTCCGATGATTATAAGCGGCTACGCGTTCACCACGGAAAGCCAAAAATCAAAATTGAAAATAAGGATTGTAATGATATGAGAGAGCTTCGCGACGCCATTTCATCCGTTACAGAAATGGACTTCAACGAAGAAAAATCAATCCTTCATCGTACTCTAGTAAGCTTATCCTAAACACTAATTATTCTCCGTTGCGTTTCTGATCGAACGTTTATAATTTTACTTTTCGAATTACCACCTAATTCCTTTTGCTGTGATGTTCAGTTACAGACAAACGAGAGAGAAAATTCAGCGACTTTCACTACCAGCGAAGGAGAATTAAGATTATTCGCCTATGACTGCCCTGATGTAAGTTTTCCTCTTCAAGTTATACATATATTTATATTTTTATATTTATATTTATATTAATATTTTATATTTATATTTATATTTTTTGCTAATCTTATCGCTACCCATTAGCGAAATATTTTATTAAAGGGAAAAAATTACTGTTGGAATTATTTCAATTATACAACTATTTATATATAACTACGACTTAATCGTACAACTACGACGATTAAATCGTGATTATAAAATAAAGTTTTCGTGTTAATAGAAAAAACAGAAAAGTATAATATACTGAGCACGAAAGTCACATTTAGAAATGTTTCAAAAAAGGCAACTCGATATAAAAGGCTCACAATTCTAAATGCTTGCTTGTTTAATTGTGCTCAGCATGCTATATCTACCAAAGACGATCGATTCGTTTTTTATCCAGAGTGTGCGTTTGCCGTTGAAAACATTACACGCGTACTGCGTGTATTTGCGCGTGTACGTTTTTATAAATGTCGCATGTGATTTGTTGTTGATCTGTCCATTTCTTCACGCTTTCTTTTTAAACGTTTCAAAAGAGATGTACCGTGCGTGTTCTGCGCTGACTTTTGTGTTTCTCATCTGTCGTCGTCGTCGTCGTTGCCGTCGTCGTTGTCGTTTGTTTGTGTTGTTTATTTTGGCTTTGTGTTTTCTTTGTGTTGTCAGAGCTTTAGCGGAAGTGTAACAGTAACGATGGCCGAGACCACCCAAACCGCCCAAACCGCCCAAACCGGCAAAACCGGCAAAACCGGCCAAGCTACAGTCAACACCAACTCACAAACTCACACTAGTTCTGAGCAACAACTACCCGTGCCTACCCCACTTCACTACCCCTGCAAGATTTGCGGGAAGTAAGTCTCCAATTTCTAATCTAAATTATCCATTTCCAATAATTGAAGGAAAAAGTTTTTTAACTATACTGCGAGCGGCAAGTATCGATTTTACGCATATGCAACACAATACTCAAAAACTTTTAAAAAGCAAAACGAAGGAAAAGCTTCCTTGATCATTTCAGAAAGTAACTACCAACAAAACTCCCTATTTTAATGTAATTTTTTTCGCACACAATTGAAAAGCAAAATCAAGCGAAGAGGAATGTTACCACCTTGTTCCTATTTGTACACACAAGTCATACATACCCCTTTCGTGCTGTTACGATGAAAAAAAGAAGGAAAATAACGAACGAATAATACATCAAAAAGCATATTTCTGCTGCATTAAACAATCCTTTGTATTAGCAAACTCATGCTACGTTAATGTTGTTCGATTAACGATTGGCATTTAGTATTATTACCTTTGATCTTTATTTTAAAGCGCACATTGATCTGCAAACTTCATTTTCTTTGCATTATATCACATTTATTTGCTCTTTCACTACTTTCAAATATTTACACTATGCTACTTTTAAAAAAAAATTGCGCAACTTATCTATCAAATACGACGAACATGTTATCTTACACATATTTCTGTGCTGCAAGTACTTTAAAAAGCATGACATATGTTATATTACGGATAATTGAACGGACACTCAATGTTTTTTCTTTTGTATAAAATAATAAATTGATTTATTTTTGTTCCATTAACCAATGATAGAAAGTAATCTTAAGCTCAATGGATACGACTTTTTTTCTTACAGAGTTTTCAACAAAGTGAAAAGCAGAAGCGCACACATGAAGTCACACAGGTCAATACCATCCCCCGATTCTACGGGTCAGGAGTCTAAACGTCCGATGCAACAATCGAAGCTGCAACAATTGCAGCAACCGAATCAACAAGTAAGGCAGCAGCAGCAGCAACAGCAAGAGCAACAAAAGCAGCAACAATCAAACGGTGTATCCTCGCAAACTCAAGAATACTTGCAACAACAGCAGATATCTTTGATGAACAACGACACCGATGTTCAAAGTGCAGCGCATATATGGCATAACCCAACAAGACTTAGGCCACCATAGGGGGAGACCATCATAATTCAACTTAAGTTACCTTAACGAAGGCTGTTTCTAACGGTAGGAATTTTGATTACGATCGCGCGATAACATAAGCAGGTTCTTGTTTATCCGTACGCGATAATACGATTATCTCTTCCTACCTCAGTGAAGTGGTGAAAAAAGAAAAATGAAAAACGTCGTCCGCTCCAAGAAGATATAATCGCGTCCGAAGAAATGTAATACACACACACACTCACACTACTTCCAAAACTATTTACTTCCGAATAAAAATACTTCTCATCTGCTGCGATCACGAAAGTTGCCGATTGGAAGCCGAAGAATACAAAGAATCGAGGACTCCTACTTTGCAAGAAGTAAGCGTTTTTAGTTGGACTGTATATCGGATAGGTATCAGACATATGCCTCATATATAGGTATCAGTAGACGAACGATGAATGACTTTCTTTTTGTCAAACGATCCGACAAACATCGTACACTTTAGCTTGCTGCGTTGGCTAAGCAGATGATAAGGATAGGACAGCTCTTCTCAAGACATGCAATCAAAAACTTCAAGCCTTTGTTTTTGATAAAGAGATAGGATATTCGATATTTATACGTTGTTTTCTTCTTAACGGTGAAAGTTAAGGTGCACGCTTATCGTCGGTGATGAGATAACGCTAAAGAATTTCACCTCGATCGATGAATATGGCCTAAGAAATAAAAAAAATAAACAAATAGAAAAGTGAACAAGCAAACGTATTATAAAGTACTCGGTCAATAGGCAAGTGATGAAATATCGATTGCAAACGAGAAGCGTGAATAAAATAGCAAATAAAAAACTAACTTTGCAGTCACGACCGGAATATTTGATATACGTATATACGAGGATCGCGGTTTCAAAGACTAATGTGTACCTATTTATTATGCACGTGAAATGTTCCCAAATTGTGCCACAAGAAATTGCTCTTATTTATTGCCACTTTATCATTCTTTTGAGTGACCTCCTAGTAACGTTTATAGTTTATCATTTTTCAATTTTCTTCCATTCTTCTCGAGGGTCAAATTACGAACACATAAATTTTAATTTTATATTAAAACATGCACAATTATTAGGATATTCAAAAAATTAATTTGAAACAAATGACATTTAATTATTATGAATTATTATTATTATTATGAATTTTTCATTAGCCAATTTATTCGTTAGCCACTTTAAAATTCTTCTTTGGCACATTTTTTATGATTACAAGGATTAAAAATAAATGGTTCGAAAATTGATCCTACTATGGAAGAAACGATTGCTTGTATGTTCTCTAACTTGTTGTATTTAATTATTTTATTATTAATATATATGAAAAGATATCGATATAAGTAGTATTTATCGTACGCACATAAGATCGTTGAGAGACTCCCTAATTTCCTTATCTTTGTTATACAAAGCATACGATATTAAATCGTATAAATTTTAATATATAAATATATAAATATGTATAAACGATCGATGTAATTAAAAATAATTTATAGTCATGACGAAATAGTTCTTTAAGAAGAACATTGTTCAAGTTTCACTCGGAGATGTCACTCGGTCTCCGAAACTGAGTGTAATATAACGAGTACACAAGCGTCAATGCATAAATATTATACATATTTACATTCAGTCCTGGCAGAGGATGTAGAAGTTTTATTAAAAATATAACTAAAATATTGATTATTAAATTGCTATCTGTACATAATATGTGTATATGTCTGTACATATATACATCAGTGTCTGTATGTACAAGTAAATAAAATTTATGCATATTAAGTAGAATAGGTTTTAGGTTGTTTTAGGAAGATTCTCTAGAGATTTTATGAGCTAAGTACACTATATACACTTTACTTGATTTTCTACTTTACTAGGGATTACGTGGCGAGACTCTTGCAAAAACAATGACGGGCCGCACGATTTTAAAATTAATCAGGAATGATGCTTTCTTTCTTTTTTAGATGGACACGACGTAACGATGTTCCTATATGTAAGGTGCCTTAATACAAAACTATTTTATTTTTCTCTTACATTATAGCTTTTTATCCGTGCACGTGATATTCCTCTTATTTTTTTAAATATAAGACATGCTTCCCTTTATTTCTCACACGATGCATTGCGTTGCGTTGCGTTGCGTTGTGTTGCATTGAATTTTATTTACTGAAACACGATATATTTACTTACGTTCTTTTCATATCACTCAGATTCTAATCTTTATTTTTTTTCTATTTATATATGTATGATATATATAGGAACATCCTTTCTAAGAATTGCATATAATATACGTTTGAGAAAGACAAAATGCATTGCGAATCAAAGCAATACCGGAAGGCGTTCTAAGGTTCTATAAGTGTTAAAATATATATATATATCAAGTTTCATTTAGTGAAACTCTAAATTGTTATTCAAGAGAGTTGCCACCGAGATCGTAGACGCTATTATTCTACCTTTAAAATATTGTTACTGTTAACACTATTCTTCTTATCAACTTTTACCATTAAATAAATCACCATATACATTTCAACCTTTCTAAACTTTTCTTAAAGTAATTGCAAAGTGACTGAGGACGCTTTTAAAAAATCTGCCAAGTCTCAATAACTTTTAACAAAGGCTATTAATCTTCTACTTGCTTCCGTAAGGTATATAGAATTTATGGTTATTTGGTGAAGTTTCGGCGCCAAAAGGGAAGAAAATATTTCTCTTCGGGCATTAAATGTTTTGAATGTGATGAAGCAAACTTTTCAATAATTACTGTCAGCGTATAATTTTGATTTCCAATTATCTCTTTTCGATTTATGAAGACGATACACAAATTAGACATTAAACGTTTCGGCTATGATATCTCTCTATTATTTATATAATATATATTTATTTATTTATTTATTTAACTATTTATTACTTCATAATTTATATTTATATATTTAACTGCCTACGTATGTATTTATTTGTTTATTTATTTTCAAATACCGTAATTATCCTTTGGAGTACGACCAACGGCATTAATTTAATTTCCTTTAAGAGATACGATATATTATTCTTTATTCGATATAAGATTCTTTTCACTGCTTGTTAATTTACGAAGCTACAAAGACATTGTCGATCCGACATTTTGTGTGTCATTCCAGTTAGATTCACACATGATTAATCACGATGCTACGAATACTTTTAATGCCCAATGGAAACACTCTTTTTGTGATCGTAAAGCATTCTTGCTTTTGTTACGCCTAGATAATAGCCTCCAGCACGAGTGACAGAACGTAGAACTAGAAATCTATATCTTATATATAAGGTTCTAAAATTTCGAATCTTAAAATTAGTTTATTTAAGAATAAAATTGTTATGTATTTTGACCACGGGCTCGGAGCATAGGTCGAAGGTAACAAAATTAGCAGACATATCATTTAAGACAATACAATTGTTACAGAAACTAAGTTTCTACTAATATAATTATTATTATACGTAATGTAACTCTTAAACAAATTTAGAGATTCAGATGCAAAGACGTAGATTGTGGTAAATGGAACGAAGTAATCAAATTTCTTGACTCTACAAATCCAGAAATTATCTAGATCAAATTATTCAACAACAAAAAATATCATTTTGATTATTTTCACACCGATATTCAGAACATTCACTTGTTATTTATTCGTCGTTTAAATTACAGATAGCAAATATATCATTTAACTTGATACCTATGATCATATAAAATTCATTCAAAATAACGACATCTGATTCTCTATCTACATGCAAATACTTATAATAATCTGGATTTGGAGTAGTAAGGCTATAAAACGTATAGAGTTGCTGGAGGCTTCTTACTCAAACAATTGAGAGAAGGCATGACAAACGAAGCAATGAAATAGTAACGAAGATATGCATGAATTGTACAAACGAGTCCCTCCACGTCACAGAAAAAATGATGTATGTATATACATATATACATCAAAAATGATAAACATGTGATGTATATAAATGGTATGTGGTAAATGATATTTCATTATTTGTACATAGACGAACCCCGTGCCATTAATTAATGAGTTGTAGTGATATTTTACTGCTATATCCTTATCGCGGAAACACTGGGTTAAATGAATCTAGATCATACATTAAAGGCATCAAAGAACATGCCTATTTATTCCGGATAATTTGTAATACAATACTAATTGAAAGAAAAACAACACAAATTAAGTTTTTTTTAACATCAAACGAATATTCATAGAAAAATGTTCCATCATCCGTTTATCGAATCACGTTTCTTCGCTTCATTTACCTAACATATTTGTCCTGACGAATTACATCTTGGATTGAATTATTATTTATTTTTCTAATTTTATGCACACGTACAGCAAAAACTATGACACAAACAATAATTCATATGGCATAAGATCTCAATAATTATTAACTAACATTAACCATTGTGTGAAATTTTTAATGTCTTTTACACGCGGTATATTGGTACAACTCGTCGAAGAAAGTGTAGCATGGTTATACACTCGAGGAATGTGCACACGAATACCACACTGAGGAGATCAAAAGTTTACTAGATGATCATTAACGTTTACGGAAAATTACTCTTAACGAGTGATAACTTACTATAAATTATTGATATTGTAATCTATTTGCCCTCTTACCTATTATCAACTTTAATGTCTATCTCTATACACCAGCATGGTTCTTTATACTCTTCTATTTGATGTTATAGTATTCTCTATCAACTTTTACTACAAAATTTATTGTTAATGATGTTTTTAACGTACAAGGACGTGGTCAGCTGTAGGTTGTCCTATGATCATTCTCACTAACGATCTTATTTAGGGCGACAGCCGACTTCCAATAATAAAAGATAGGAAAATTAAAAAAAAAGAAAAAAAGAAGAACAAGATGAATAAATTAGTCTTACAATGGGAATAAATCGAAATAATTTGACCTGTTTTGTCAAATATTCTATATGCGAGATAAAGGGAGCTTGACGTTCGCGTGAAAAATATGAAAAGAACGAAAAATAAAATAAAAAAGAAGAGGCTAATGTTCGTTGTGTTATACGAGTTATCGCAATAAATTCCGAAAATAGATAACTTATAGGACAGAGAGACTCGTTCGTATTTAGCAATATTGGCACGGCGCGATTTTCATTATCGTCGTTTTTCCACTTCTCTGCTCATA